GACAGGCCCGAGTCCAGTCTAGGCTGGGGTCATGTGGGTTTGGGTTTGCTACTAGACCTCTCTGTTGGATTAGGTATCTTTCCCTTGCTATTTGCTGCTTCTGTGTCGAAATTTCTGTCATTTGGAAGAAAGATTTGTCAATGAAGTCAAGTAATACAGAGTATACCTAGTTACTTTTAGGCTGTCAGTTTTGAGACATTAAGTAGAGGGGATTTATGGTTTTTATTTATTAGGTCTGTAAATGCCATGGTCTGAGCAAAAGTGATTGTTTCAGGGATGCAGCTAGAATTCAACTCAGTGTCTTACTAATTTAACACCTTGCTTTTTGGATGTTAGAACTTTAGTGGAATAGTTTTTGTTTTTGTTTTAATTTACGGCCCACGTAAAGGAGGAAGACATATAAGTTATTCATGATCGGCACTAATGTAAAACAGGCAGAATAGATCTGTGAGCAGAGAAACAGTATATTTTGTGGGGAAGATGGAAAACTTTTAAAAAATAAAATAATGCTCCCCTAGATTTTGTACCTTCTGGTACCCCTTTTGATAATTTAATGGTGATGCTTATAATATATTTTTTCAGTAATTTAAAAAAATTTAGTTTAAGAAATTTTAAATAAAAAAAACAGTTGGCAGCTTTCCCACTATTTACTGGATCAGATTCAACCACTAAATTATGATTTTCAGTGTTTTGATGCCTTATTTTGCTTTAATATTTCTGATACTCCTGTTCTGGCTTAATCTTCAGGGGGCTGTGTGGTAAAAAAACAAAGAAACAAAGACCAGGAATTGTTACATGGAGAAAATTTGCCTTTAAAAAATGGAAAAGCTATTCTTTTAATATTGCTGGAAACATTGTATGTGATGTTATAGTATGTAAATAAATTTATGTAGCTGGTATACTCATTGGTGAGTACATTTGAAAGACTAGAATATAATTTGATGAGATGTGTCTGCCCCAGATGCTGTGGACATGATTAGTTAGCAACCCAGATGTTTCATCTGGTCATATGTTAATCTTTTTAGAATAACAACTTTAAATGGAAGTAGAGAAAGCTCATTATTCATATACTGTATATGGGAATGGGAAACTCTGTCTAAAGTTTTTCAGTTTTCCAAGCTTACTCAGATTAGGGGGCCTGCCCCTTAGCTCAGTTCTTTAAGTGGCTGCTTCAACAAAGCAGCCAGGCTCAGGTTGCTGTGGTTTGATCCCCACAACTCAAGCCAGCCAAACCTGCCCTGAAGGCATTCGGAGCAAAAAAAAAAAAAAAAAAAAAAAAATCCAAGTTTACTCAGGTTAAAACCTCTCTGTTGAGGTACACTAGAATTGTTAGTCTCTTTAGTAATCAAACAAGACTTAACTTTTTCTCATTAAAACATTCAGGTAGTTGCTTAGATCCAGTGCATATGTAGCCAATGCCAAGTGGCGGGGTCTATCACAATGGAATAGTAATTTGGGGAAGAATATAATGAGTTGCTTCATGTCAAGGGGTGAAGATCCTAGAGAAGGATGCTTTTCAGCCAGCTTAGATTAAATGCTGTTGATCTCATCCTGGTTCAGATCTCTGCCTTTGTTTTGGAAAGGATTTCTCTATTCCTGCACTACTCCTTCCTACCTCAAGACTCAGAGGAAGCCAATATGGAGGCTCACAAACACTCTCTTCAATCCCTGTGAAACCTTGACAACAGTTACCAAATTAGAATTTGCTTTGGAATCTTCTGGGGTTACTTGTAAAAACCTCAGGCCTTAGATTTTACTTAGTTTGATTAAAATCTTTCAAGGTAGAAAAAGTATCATGAAGAATAACCAGCAACTATTTATTCATTTATTCACCAAATATTTTTGGGTAGAAAAGGTACCTGCTCTGTATTTGGCCATGTATAAGGTGCTGAAGATCTAAGTGTAATAGAACTGAGTTTTGCCTTTGTGAAATTTATGTGTAGTCTGGTGGGAATTTAGAAGGGAGGATGAAAAAGTACAGAAAGGTTCTGTGACATAGAAAAGAGAAAATTACCTTTCGGGGCTCAAAGAAGTGGTCAGGAACAGGAGTTGGCCAGGCAGAGACACTTGCCTGTGCCAGGTACAGTGAGATGAGAGAAGCCAGTAGAAATTCTATATGTGCCTGTGGGAATTGGGAAGACACAAAGTGAAAGTGACTGTAAGTGGCAAAGGAATACACAAGAAAGTCTCCTGGAATGAAAGGTAGGAGTTAAAGATTGAAACAGTTCACTGAGCATCCTATAAGGAGTGAGAATGACTCACTCATAAGCACAGCCTATAACATTCAGGATTCCAAGGTTGAATAGAAAATAACAAGTAGCCCTGAAAGCTTTCAGAGAGGAAAAAAAAACAATGTAAAAAGGATATGAGTAATCAGAGTAGCATCAGATTGCTCAATAGCCTTATTAGAATTTACAAGAAAAAGAAGTCATGCTCTCAAAGCAATCTGGAAAATAGTTTCTTACCTAGACTTATACACCCTGCCAGGCTACCAATCAAGACATCATAGCACTCACAGATTCTCGAAACTTATATTGCATGCACTTTGTCCAAGTAGGTAATGGGAGATACATGTTGTCAAAATACAGGACAAATACAAGAAGGAGAAAATGAAAGATCCAGGTAGAGTTTCCCTCAAAGGAAAAGGAAGTCCCAGTTCAGTTGAGGCCTACCAGCCATTCCAGCCAGGAAGAGGCAGGATAAAGTATGTACAAATGTGAAAGGTCTCAAAAAAAAAAACAAAAAAAAAACCAACTAAAGAAAGAACCAGATACTTTATTTTAGTAAAGGATTTTGTTTTGTTTTGTTTTTGTTTTTACAGTTCTTGGGAGTTTAATGAGGTGCATGACTGTTGCATAAAAAGCTAAACAAGTAACAATGACAACAAACAACAACTGATAACTCTAGGGGAGGCAAAATTATTCAAAAAAGAAAATATTATCATTAAATTCTACATGATATTTCTGGAAATAGTATTCATTTTGTCAGACTGTTGTAAATACTAAGTATATATTGAGTTAACCAAATGTTGCAATGTAAGCAGAAATAGAGGATCGAACAAATATAACATATATAGTATTTAAAATAGAAAATAAAATTGAGAAACTGAACTGTAAGCACTTAGAAATGTGAAGTTAAATACTAGGAGGAAATGCTAAAGGAGTTAAAATTATTTGCCTCTGGAGAGTATGAATTGGATGTGAGTAACAGTGGGATAGGGGGATTTTGTTTTGTATTATGTGCTCTATGGTCCTATTTCTTTTTCTTTAAAAAAATTTAAAAAAAAAATTTTTTTTTCAAGCACTGGGAATTCAACCCAGGGCATTGCACTGAGTTACAGCCCTATCCCCAGCCTTTTATATCTTTCATTTTGAAACAAGGTCTCTATAAGTTGCTGAATTGTCCAGGATGAGCTCAGAGTTGTGATCTTTCTGCCTTGGCCTCAGAGGGTTGAGATTGCTTTTATACCTGGATAAGGTTCCATAACATGTAGGCCTAGCATCTATAATGGTGGAAAAATGTTACATTTAATGTTTTGCATTTTGTTGAATGAACTTTTTAGTTTGGGTATACTATGTATTGACTTTGGCACATTCCTAAATTTTATCCAAATTTTCTTTTTTTTACAACTTACTGAATATCAGTCATAGAAAAGTTGTTAAGGTGATTACTGATTCAGATACATTTGTAGCCTCTATCAGATTTGTGTTTCTCCCAAACCATGTTTTTTATATACATTCCATCTTCTGAATTTCAGGATAAATAATCGACCCTTCTCTCTCTTGCCTTCTCCCAAAAGTGGAGCAGTTTGACTTCATATAAGAAGCCAACATTTTCCAGTAGCCTGACATTCTTAAAATGTGAGAGCATAGGCTGCACATTGGGACCCTTGAGCTGACTGCATTACTTAGCAAAGCCCCAGTTGACTGTGGAGCTTTTGTGAATACATTCCTGGTCTATATTTTTATATTGAAAAAAATCAACCTCACAGAAGAATGGCAAGAGTAGTAAGATGCCCAAATAGCTTTCACTAACATTTACCAGTTCTTAAATGTTTTACCACGCTGCTTTCTCTTTCTCTGTCTGGTGTGTTGCCCCTCCCCTTTTTAAGGAGGACAGTGATCCTACCAGATTTGTTTAAAGTAGGTTGTACATATTATATATCTGCATTATCTCCCAAGAACAAAGATATCCCCCTACAAAAGTAAAATAACATTATTTGTCTTGGATAAAGTAATACTATCTAAGGTAGTTAGTATTCAGCTATCTCCAAAATCCTAGTCATATTTTCTGTAGTTTTTGTTTTATTTAGAACCTAGTCATTGACTACATTGTATTTAGTCATCATATTTCTGTCAATTACTGTGTTAGAGTGTTTCCATGCATTTACTTTAAAAAAAGAAAAACTTTTATAATATTGACAGTCATGAGGAACACAGGCCAGTTGTTTATAGAACATCCTACAGATGTGGATTTGTGTAAGTTTGACAAGAATATATATATATATATATATTTAACCACTGTTTTTAGCTTTTTATGCAGCTTTGAAAGTTTAGTTCATTGTTTTTTATTTCTGTTAGTCTGTGGTTTTATGCAGAATATTAAGAATGAACACTTACCTGGAGAACAGTAAGACTTCTTACATCACAGAAAATATCATTGTAATATCTCTGGGAGGGGTAATCTGTTCCTCTGGAAACAAGCATAATATTTTTATAAATATCCTTGGCAGTGATCGTTGGATGACTTAATATATTATAACCAAGGGCAAATTTTCTACTCTTTAATTAAGTTCTGCTACAGTATATAGAACAGGGAGCCACTTTTGGAAAAATACTTGGCCAGCTTTTCTATTATTCCTGAGCTGAAAGTTTGATTTGGGGTCTTAAGCATTGGATGGACACGTGTTCAGCGTGCAGTGTTCTGGCTGAGCTGGTGCCGGGATGCTCGGTGGCTTAGGTTGTGTATATTTTGTGTGAAGTGAGTGCAGCATGGGGAGATGGCGTGCCATACATGCCAGAAGAGCTATGCAAGCTCTCTGTTGAAAGCATGCTTCCCGTTTGTCTGGGCTTCCCGATAGCAGGCCTGGTGACACAGTACCCTTCAGGCAGAGCTCCTCTGGAGGTGTAGGAAGTGCTGCTACAGGTTTTGTCCCTCTGTGGACAGCTGTATTTCAAAGCCTAGGCAAGTTGCTGGTAAGTTTTGCACAGGCTGCCAGTGTGTGTGTTTTCATTTGATTTATCTTTTTTCTTCTCAAGTCATCATGATTTTTGTAAACATTTCAGGGACTTGTTATACATTCTCTGAAGTAGGATTCAAAGGATTCTTTGTAATTTATTTGTAATCCAACTTTTCTTTTTCTTTCTTTGCAGGTTTTGTGGAAGTATACTACTTTGTCATTATGAGATGTCGTCTCTCGGCGCCTCCTTTGTGCAGATTAAATTTGATGATTTGCAGTTTTTTGAAAACTGCGGCGGAGGAAGTTTTGGGAGTGTTTATCGAGCCAAATGGATATCACAGGACAAGGAGGTGGCTGTGAAGAAGCTACTGAAGATAGAGAAGGAGGTAAGGTCTTTTCCTGCTATCAGAAATGGGCATGGCAGCACTTACATAAGGTTTTCAACCTAGAGTTAGAGGGTCACAGGCCTGCAAGGGACTGGCAAGGCCATTGGGGCTGCTGCATGAGGCTGTTTCCCAGTTTCCATTCTGGGAGCCCCATAAATAGAAATTCTTGCAGCGTGTGCTTCAGGGTTGAGTTCGAGTAGGGGTCATCTGAAGTGGGAGGACTTCTTTCTGTGGCATAGAAGAGCCTGTGTTCCCTGAGCTGCTCTCCTGGAGCAGAGGTGGGTTCCAGGCCTTCCTAGGGTTTGTGCTTTTGCTTCCCTACAGCCTCCAAGAGGGGTCAGTAGAGAGTAATGTGTGGTGGTTTTATCTCCTTGCCAGTTTCTCTCCTTGAATTTGTAGTCCTCAGGAATTATCTTTTAAAAAGTAAAAATAGATTGGCGTTTCTACTGAAATAAGGAATACCAGCCTCTTGGATTTCACCTCTACTTAAGTCTCACACTGATGGGTTTTATGAAGAAATAGTAGGTGCTGGAGCCAGAGAGAGCTTCCCTTCCTTTTAAAACCAGAAACAGGTTTTCACTTCCAAGTCTGGAATTCATGCTGGGTTTGGGTGAGCTCTGAAGAACTCTTACACCTCTCATCTGGCCAGGAGCGTGGCCTAGCATGCTCCCCATATTCAGCCTCAAGAATAAAAGTACCCGCAGAACCCATCTGCAAGGGTCAGCAACATTGATGACTTTTGAAAATGCTTTATAAAATTTAAATATAATTTTAAAGTGATACATAAATACAAAATTACACATATTTATAGAGTTCTATGTACTCCATAGACATATACATTGTATATAGTGCTTAAATCAGGCTAAGTGTATCCATCTCCTCAAACATTTATCATTTCTTTATCGTGAAAACATTCAGACTCCCTCTAGCATTTTGAAATGTATAGTATATTATCATTATCCATAACCATTCTGCCGATAACTTTTAATCTCTATCTTCTGGACCATGTTGTGGTCATTTCTATTTATGTCTGGTTTTAAATAATTATTGTACTTTTCAGTGTCCTTTCAAAATGAACTTTTCCATAAATATCCTTTCATCTCACTGAGTGATTTAATTTTTTCATTAACTGCCGCCAGTGAACCGTGGCAATTGATTAGAGAAGGAAACCTGAATGGCAGCACTTTGTGCGTTTCCTCTCAGCAGTGCTCTGTAATTGTGAATCACCAGCGGTATTTGCAGTTGTTGAGGTTAGCTCAAAAGGTCTTCAGAAGGCTATCTCTGCCTTGGGGGCTCTATTGGTTCAGTTTTAAAAAGTGAGAGCTTTTAAAGCCAATGTATGTAAAATAAATGTACTAGATAGAAAATGTTTGCTTTCCTTTCTTTCTTTTTATTTTTTTGCTTTCCTTTATTTCCACCTTTTTTTTTCAGAACCAGGGATTGAACTCAGGCCCTTGCCCTTACCAGGCAAGCACTTATTCTATTGAGCCATCTCCTTGGCCCCTATTTCCACTTTTTGATCAAGAAAAACATTTCAATAGTAGCTAAGTAATAAGACCATTTCTTACTCTGAACCAAGCCCTTAAACTTTATAGTACTGTCCCCCTTTTATAGATTGGGAAATAGAATTTTTAGATCATGCTCTTATATTCTTATATGAGACTTTATAAAACAGGAAGTAGATTTTGATAGGAAACATGAGTTGAGGCATGTCTACTACTCTTTAAACACGCACACATAATACCCTTTTTACTATATCTCAGAGAAGAGAAACATGACATAGGAAAGCACAGGGATGAATGCAGGAATTAGTAGAAACTGCCAAGCCCTGCTTCTGTGTAGGAGTTTAACCTGCATGTGTATAGTGTGGAAACTGGGTTGATTACATTATGCTGCCAAAACTTAATTCATAAACTTGTAAATAGGAAAATCCAAAGGTTCCACTCCAGTTCAAGGGCTTGGTTTATTGAGGCGTGGTAAGCGTTCAAGACATCATTTTGGCAAAGCACCCCCAAACACATGCGGAGTCCACATGAGTTTAAAAACTGCAAACACCTTTGACTGGATGCTGGCAGTTATTGGAAAGGAAGTGTACATTTCTTATAGGAATTATTGGTATTCATTGTGAAGCATGGTTTGACTGCTAGCTAGGTGTTTTCTAAGTGATAGGATAAATATAGTGAGTTCCAGATGTTTTTTGCAGCTCACTAATTCAATCCCATGTTACTTGGTTACTTTTTGCTGGTGAGTTTTAGAGGGGCTGGGATGTTTTGTAAAGTATTTGTCACCCATTTGACTTTTTAAAATGACTTGATATCTAATTACATGCTTTGTGAGTTTAGTGAGATGTGGAGAAAATGTATGTTGAATTCTTTAACTTTGCTTATATGAGAGGGACAAGGAAGACTATTTGTTTCACTTATTTTGCAGTCTTCTAGCTCAGTGAGTGTGTTATTTTTCCTTTCAGTTGATGTTACTTTTCTAATGAAAAAGGAAAGAAAAATAACAATTGCTTAAAATACTTTTTAAAACACTCTCTTTTTTTTTTTTTTTTTGGAACCGGGGATTGAACTCAGGCCCTTGTACGTGCCAGGGAAGCGCTTATTCCACTGAAGCATCTCCCCAGCCCTTTTAAAACACTCTTAAACCTAGAGAAAAATGACAAGAGTAGTACCATGAACTCTAAGATATCCTTTCCCTATTTCATTACTCAGTATTAGTCTGTACTATTTGTGTTAATACTACTGGTTTATATGCAATAAATTTATTTTAGTTTTGCTGAACCGTGGGAATGAATTGCAGGTGCTACTTACCTTTACCCTTAAATACTTCAAAATTCCTAAAAACATAACCACAGTGCAGTGAAATCAGGAAATTTAATAGTGAACCTACTTTATTAAACACACTAAATTCAGATTGCTATTCAGAATAGCTTTTTGTGACAATATTTTCAACCCAGAGTCTACTCCAGAATAAAAGATTGCTGTATCTTTTTTCTGGTTTAATCTGGAACAGCTTTTCTGCCTTCCTTTGTCTCTTCATACTGACATCGTTGAAGAATACAGGATAATTGTTATGTACAGTCTTCCTTACTTTGGATTTGTCTGATTTTCCCTTCCTCTAGTTTCAGTTTGTATGATTTTGGTAGGAATGCTACTTTGGTATTGTGTCCTTGATGGTCATTGGCCTGGCTTAACGTGAGTTGCATGATGTTTGTTGAGTTATTGGCAGTATTAATTTTGAACCCTTGGTTCACTGAATTTCTCCATAGTAAAGTATCTTTTTTCCCTTTGTAATTAATAATTAAGCTGTTGATAGACACTATGGCAATACAAATCTCTTTCCTCAACACCTCCCTAATTGTTTTGGCATCCATTTGATGATTGTTTGAATCAAGTATTATTATGATGTTTTGTTGTGTAGAAAACAAAATGTTCTCTATGAGTTTTTCTCTTTTTCCTTTTTTCCATCTTTTACTTAATTACCCATTCATTTGTTTGTCTGTAGACAGTAAATTTTTTTAAATGAAGTGTTAGTCTGTTCATGTTGTTACTCATTTTTGTGTTTAAGTGACCCCAAATGTAGTAAAAGAAAGCTCCTTCAGGTTGGCTATAATGCCTTTATGATCTATGCCCCTTAACAAGGGATGATTTTTCTTACTTTGGGTCCCCAAAGATATTCGAGGCTCTTCTAGCCTCTGTCCCACTTCTAGAATCAGTCATTTCTTCAGGCAGTCTTGTGTTACTAAGAAACCGAGATGTGAGAGCTATGCATGCTTATTTTCAATGTGAAAAAAGGCTTTTGTCCTTTTGGCAGAAGTGATGGTGGGAGAGAAATGGTTTTATGAATGTACTTCACTTAAAATGTAAAAGTATACCTCTGGATAGCTGATATTTCTGGAGGAGAGTTTACCAAAAGGTATCACAAGAAAGCAAACAAACAAACAAAAAACTAAACAAAAAACCCCAAGATGTTTGTTTTTTCTGAGCCAGTAATCTTAATTCAAGGACTTTATCCTAAAGAAATAATCATAGATACACAGGAAGATAGCTAAAATAGGAGTACATCTCAGATACATAATGAAAACCTAAAGACAGCAAATAATGTTATAGCTGTATAACAAATTCTGCTCCATTTAGAAGAATGTTTAAAGACCTCAGAAAGTGCTCATAATACACTAGTAAGTGGTGAAAACAAGTTACAAAGATTTTATATTAGGTGGGAATATAGTTCAACAATAGATCACTTCGTTAGCCAGTACAAAACCTTAGGTTCCAACTCCAGGACTGGGGGAAAGTATGCTTCCTACTGGAGTTTGAAAGCCAGTACATTGCTTGAACCTAGCTAATCAAAAGCCCAACTCCTGCGCACAGGCTCTGTGAGGCAGTCTCATGCGCATAATAAACTAAGGGCGGCTTTAGGAATGCAGACTTAGGTACAACCTCAAATGCCTTCAAGTGGCAACTGCTCCGCACTCTGGTGCTGTCCTGACTCTCCTGCATTGTGCTTTAATTTTCTTATCTGAACTCTCTACTCTTGTCCTTCTTCTGTGTTGCTTTCTTATTTCTCTAAACTTGGTCAGATTCTTTCCTTCACCTGTTCTGTCTGGGCAGATCCTAATCATTCTTCAGCTTTAATATTTTCCTTTTCCGTGAAATAGTCTCAGTCCTATCTGAATTCATGTGACTGAATATCCAAATTACTAATGTGACTAATATTAGAACTACCTTGTGACTATTATTGGAAGAAATTGCCACTTAATGTTTTATATGTCTTCTCAGCTGAAAAGTGGGTCCACTTGTGGTACCCACACCATAGAGCAGGTGAGAGGGTTAAATGAGATGAGACGTATGAAATATGTAGAAGAGTGCTAGGTGTATGGGAAACTTTGGTGAGCTGTTAACTTAGCAGTGTGAGAGCTTTACAACTGTATTCCAAAGTCAGAATAGCAGATTCTCTCTTTTGTGAAGATTTTAATTAACAAATGCCTAGGCTTTTAT